AGCCCAGGACACTCACACCTTTGTTCCCAGCCCAGATGAGATCAGAACCTGAGACACAAAGGGGGAGCTGTGCCCTTGTCCCTCCTCTCACCAACAAGGCCAGGGCTCGAGGGGGCCTTCCAGGTGCTGCTGAGAATCCAGGCTGAAGAAGGTCCTGGCTCTTACCTTGCTGACCCCCCTGGGACCTCAAGAACAGGTCCCCAAGGATGCAGTGTCTCTAGGCCTGAGGCTCGCCTCCTGCTGAGCAGCCAGGCTCTCAACCCGGGAGGGCTGAACCAAGACAGGAAAAGGGCTCTGACCCTGCCTAGACAGTGAGGGGCAGCTCCTGTGGCCTCTGCCACCTGCTGGCCCCTGACATGGGCAGAGCATTGCTCCCTTGGGGAGCAGAGCACAGCCTCCAGTCTGTAAAACTCGGAGACCCCATTCTGGGATTTGGTCCCTCATGGTGATCTCAGCCCAGTGAGGAAGACAGACGAGAAAGGCAGGGTGTTGGGAGCTTGGCGGGGGGCCTGCAGGAACAGTGAGGAGGCAGCGAAGCTGCGTGAGTGAGGGGAACAAGCGGTGGGCTCAGAGAGCCAGGGAGTGCTGAGGAGGGGGTCCCATCAACAAGGCCTTGAGGGCCAAGCATGAATTCACTCAGTCCTCACAAAGTTCTAGAGGGGAGAACTGTTGTTCTCATTTTACAGGTGAGGAAAGCAGCTCAGAGAGGTTGATGATTTCCCTGAGGCCACACAGCAGGGGGTGAAAGCCTAGTCTGCTGATGCCTGGTGATTTCCCCTGAGCCCCAACACCCCGAGAACCGTACCACCTCCGGGGGAGGCCTTGTCAGCACGGAGATTTTCTGATGCTGCCATCCTGCCCAGGCTCCCCGCCAGCTGGGCTTTGATTTCTCTTTCTGAGTACTGCGGTCCCTGACCCCAGCCACCCTGGAGCCTCTGATCATGCATGGAGCTGCTGGCCAGGATGGGGCCTGGAGGGGGCGGCCAGGGGTAGGAGGCATCAGATGAAGCAACTGCCTAGACTCGGCTCAACCTGCAGGCCAGCCTCAGGCCCTGCTGCGTTCCAGAAGCTTGTACAGTACAAAGATGGACAGAGGAATAAGGGGAAGCCCCCTGGTGCTAGGTCAGGGCTAGAGCAGAGACCAAAGCCAGTGTCCAGGGGAGGGCAGAGCAGCTATCAGGGGGGGCTTCTGGAGGGAGGCAGGCCTCATCCTGTACCTTGAAGGAGGTATCATGTTTCAACAATTGGGAAAGCGGGAAGTGGCCGTTGGAGGAGGGGGAGAGTGTTAACACAGGGCCGGGCCTCAGCCTCCTCACAGGAAGTGATGCCCCGCAGGTCCGCCCACCTCTAGCACCAGGCCCAACCCGAATGGGAGCGAGAAGGACCCGACTACCACCCAGCTCTCCAGCATGCCCGTGGAATCCCAGATGGAGGAGCTGACTACCAGGTGCCCTGTCTTCCTGAGGGTGGCATTGTCCGGGGGAGGTGCTTCAGTGGCAGAAGGATCGTGTCCCTCCCTTTGACTTCGGCTTGCCCAGAAGGCTGGTCCTGCTGAGCCGTGGGTTGTAGGCCCGTAATTCAGCGACTGGCCATCAGGAGGCAGAGAGACTCAGCCATGACCCTGATGACCCCAAAGTCCCAAGAGAAGTTTTATTAAGCATGGGCTGCTGAACCCACTTTTCTCACCCAGCTAAGCCTTTCAAGGTCAAATGCAGTGATGGGAAAGGAAAGAGGGGGAACCTCTACAAATTAGTACCACCTTGGGGCAGCCAATGTTTTGGGGTGTTACCTGTGCCAGGCCCAGGGCTGTGGGTGGCCCAGAGAGGAATCCCATGTGGCGTTCCCCTGAGGGCCTGTGGGGGGACAGGGCGGGTCAGAGAACCTGCGCCCAAAGAACAGCACGCTGACGGTCCCATCCCGGGCCTTGTGCGTGCACATGCGCTCCAGGCTGGCCATCCAGGAGGAGGAGAGCGCAATGCTGAAGGCCGCCCTGGGCCGAGCCCTGCGGGGGAAGGAGGAGGACTTCCGAATGTACCACGAGACCCTGGGCCAGGTGAAAGGGGTCTTCCTGAAGGCCCTGCGGCAGCAAAAGGCGGACAAGCGCTAGGACGGTGGCCCAGGGTCACTCTGGCCAGACGGGGCAGCCAGCTCAGCTCCTGCTCCTGGAAGATGCTCCCTGAGGTGACGGAGCCAACGAATCAGGCCAGGAGGCCAAAGCAGAAGCCCTGGTGGAGCCCCAGAGGAGCCCTGGAGGAGCCCCAGGGCAGGCGTGGCTGTGGCAGGGGAGAGGCTCAGCAGCCGGCTCGGCATCCGCGACGCTCTGGGACAACAAGCTGGCTGTGAACAGATGTCGTCTCTCGGACAGGTGCCCATTGCCCTTGTCTGAGGGCCCAGCTGGCGCCCACGTGACTTCATATGCACAGAAGGGCCCTCACACTCTGGGCTGGGAGCATCCCCCAGGCCACCCAGCCCCATCTCACCCCTCACTAAGGCATCCTATACCCCCCCCCCATGGCTCCATCTGTGGTCATTCCACCCTCTGCAGACTTGGGGACACACCGCTCCCAGCCACCTTGTCGGCCCCCTCAGGGCTCTTCCTGAGATGCAGACCCTTGGACTTGTAATAATAATGATGATTTTCATAATCACAGCAGCTCCCAGTGAGTGAGAATCTACTGTGGAAATCTGAGCCCAGCTAGTCCTCGAGTAACCCAGGGGTCGTCACTCTATTTTACATATGGGGAAACTGAGGCTCATAGAAGGACCTGACCTGATACTGAACCCTGGCCTGCCTGACTCTGAAAGTGGGGTCCTCCTGTGGAACAGAGTAGCCAGGGCGGGCGTGTCCACCCTGCTGCTGGGCAGGTCCACCCCCAGCCCTGCTCCAAAAGGCACCCCCTTTGCTTCCGGTGGCTGCTGGTGGCAGAGGGCAGAGGTGGGGCCAGGGCAGGAGTCCCGGTGAAGGCACAGTGTACCTCCCTCACCACAGCATAGGGGTGAGCTGGGGCGGGGGAGTTCTGCTGCAGGAGAGACCCCAGGCCTGACCCTGACTCACAACTTGGGAGCACAGGCTGTGAAACACCCGACACCATCAGGCGCTTCTGGGACCCTGTCTGCTCAGGCCCTCCCTCAGGGACATGGCTGTGGAGTGACTGTGCTGAACCCCCAGTCAGGGAGCCCAGACCCTGCATAGGGTGACATAGGCCTAGAGGTTCCCCAGCGAGGGGTAGCAAAGGCCATCAGGATGAAGGGGCGATTCTGAGGGGTCCTAAGGGTCCCTGGGAAGGAAATGCAGGAGGGTCCCAGGTGAGGCAGACTCCATCCCTAAGCTCCAAGAAGTCCCAGGCCACCATCCACAGAGCTGGCCAGCCATCAGGGTCCATGAGTGCCATCTGCAAGCCAGCCCCTCAGGTAATCAGACTCCCTCCTGCTCTCAGGGAGCTCCTGGTGCAGTCAGAGGGAAACAGAGGGTGGGGGTGGGGGTGCAGGTGCAGAGACAGAGCCTCCACCTTCCCTGCCGCTGCTCCCAGGCTTATTGCCCAGCTCTGGGGGGGGAGGGTGCTGTCCATATCGCCCTGAGATGTGAGTGGGGGAGGGTGAAAGGGGGAGTCCCAGGGGAGCCTGCAGCAGGATTTTCAAGGGAAGGAGGGGTTGTCAAAGGGGCCAAGGCCTGGGACCCTGAGGGATCTAACCCAGGTGGGCCAGGTGAGGAGGAGCAGCCTGGTCCATCCAAGTTAATGCCCATGGCCCCTCCTGAGCAGCACCACCTGTCCCTTGGACCCTGAGGAGGACTTCCCAGCCCTCAGGCAAGTGGGCAGCAGGTGGGCTGGACTTGCCTGCCCAGATCCACTAGGTCGTAGGGAGAGGGGTAAGGACAATCAAAGAGGCCTCACGTGAGGACTCTCCATGGCTGCACGCCAGGCAGGTGCCTCAGGCCTGGGTGCTCAGGTTCCAGCACTGACAGGTGAGACCTGGTCGAGCCATGGGTGTGGCTTGGCCACTGTCCCCGTGGGGGCCTCTGCGGCACCACAGCTGAGCTAGACAAGACTGCAGGTGGCTCAGGCTGATTTAAGCACATTCCATTGCCCCTGGGTCCCTCCTCTGGCCCCACATCCAGTGTCTAGACCCAGCTTCTCCTCTCCATCTCCTCCTCCAGTCAACCCACCACCACCCACAGGGAAGTCTCTGCCTGTCCACCCCTCTCCACACATGCTGTCTCTCCTACAGTCCCTGAGCCCCATATATACACACAAACAGTACACACATCACACACACACACACACAACACATGCCATAGACAACATACAACACAAAACATATACTTACAGAGCCCATACACAACCAACATGAAACAATTACACACACACAAGATATTTTCCCCACATTTTTACTTTGAACAACAACAACCAAACCCCTAAGGGATGAGAAGGAACTCTGCCCTCCACATTTTTCCTACTAGCTCTCTTGACATTTGCGGCCCCAGGTCCTTGTGCTGGTCTTACCCCAGGCCGCTTCCTGCCCCTCGTTTTGTGGACTGGCTGCCCCAGGCACTCTCTCCTCTGCCACCCCTCACACAGGTGCAGCTGGCCTTGGCCACCCAGCCCCAGACCCAAGGGGCCTCACTAGCCCCCGACCCTTCCTGCCATCCCCACATGCGGAGCTCCCTGCAGACCCTGCTGTGAGAGGTCACCCAGTGAAAATCTGCTGTGTGTGAGTCCTGCCTCTCTGAGCCTCTCCAGTGAGGGGGTTTCAGCCTTTCTCTATGAGCAATTCGGTGAGCCAAGCCCTTGCTGTGCAGTGAGAAGTCTGCCCATTTATAGGTGAGGATCTGAGGCTCAGAGAAGTTCTCACACCAGTGAGGTGCAGCTCAGGTTCAAGTGAATTGGGCAGACCTGTGCTCTTAACAGTGGAGCCAAACCACCCTGTCTGCCTCCTTGAACCCTTGTCTCAGCTGGATGGCCGACCACGCTGGTCTCAGCCAGCACCTGGTGTGGGCAAGCTGGGTTCTCGTCCCTGCAGGTCCATCAGCTCGAGAAGCTTATGGGGCTGACCCAACTACTTAACCTCCTGGTGCGTCAGTTTCCTTTTCCATCAACTAGGGCAAATGAAAACTAACCTTCCCTCCAGGTGGTGGTAAAATTAAAAAGTTGATCCATGTACATCCTTAGAACCATCCCTGGCTACTGGGATTAACTTACTCCTAACAACCAGTGACTAGCTCAGAACTCTGTTCAGGTGGCCCCCACCCCAGGCCAGGGAGCCCTCCCTGAAGCTGGACTCCTCTAGTGCCCCTGGCCCCAGCTATAGCCCTTGCCTAGCCCCCAGACTATGCAACAATTGTTCTTCATGCTTCTCAGGTCAGGGACCAGTGATGCAGGTCTAGTCGCTGTGGGGAGTGCCCGCTGGGGTCTCCTGGCCCGTCCCAGTCCTCTGGGCCAGCGTGTCTGCATGTTTGGGAGGAAGGTCACTGCCTAGCAGCACTGCTGGGAGAGTATGGGTCTCTGCCCTTCCCAGACCTTGCTCAGGCCCTGGAAGTGCCCCTGCTGGGGGCAGAGGAGCAGGATCCTTCTTCCCTCAGTTGAACCTGAGCCTGTGGCCCAGCTTGGGATCAGCAGTGGCTCCAGGACCTGCCCTGTGATTGTAGTCACACGGCAACTTCTAACTCCAGACCCCAAAGCCTGGTCCCCCACATGCGTCAACAGTCCCCCATAGACTCTGAGGCCCTTATCCCAAAGGGGGACTATCAGAGGTTCCTGTCCTCTCAGGGTGGCCCCATCAGGTAAGCTGGGCTGAGGCCTTGGCTGGGCCTTCCCAGAGTGAGGCCCTGTCCGCCCCCCCCC